AGAACAGAGTCTGCTTGAGGATTCTCTCTTCCTCTCCCTCTGTCTCCCATCCCCATTCTCTCTCTCTCTAAAATAAAATAAATACATCTTTAAAAATAAAATAAAATAATTCCAAAAAATTTAATAGGAAGGAACACTCCCAAACTCATTCTATAAGGCAGTATTAGCCTAATACCAAAGCCAGTTAAGGACACTACAAGAAAAAAAAATAGGTCAGTATCTGTAATGAATATAGATGAAAAAAATTCTCAGCAAAATACTATCAAATGGAATTTACCACATTAATAGAATAAAGGATAAAAATCATTGATCATCTCAGTAGCAGGAAAAGCATTTAGCACAATTTAACATCCTTTCATGATAAAGCTCTCAAGAAACTGAGTACAGAAAGAACATAACTCAACATAATGAGGGCATATATCACAAGCCCACTACTAACATCATATTCAATGGTGAAAGGTTGAAAACTTTTCCTTTAAGATCAGGAACAAGACAAGGATATCTATTCTTCCCACTTTTATTCAACGTAATACTGGAAGTACCAGCCAGAGTAATTAGGCAAGAAAAAGAAATAAAAGATATCCCAATCAGGAAGAAAAGTAAAATCGTCTCTGTTTGCAGGTGACACAATCTTATACATAAAAAACAATGAAGATGCCACCAAACAACTGTTAGAACTAATGAACGAATTCACTAAATTTACAGGATACAAAATCAACATACAAAAATGAGTTGCATTTCTATACACTCACATGAACTATCTAAAAAAGAAATTAAGAAATCAATCCCATTTACCAATGAATCAAAAACAACAAAATACTCAGAATGAAAAATTAATCTTAACTGGATTAAAGACTTAAATGTAAGACCTGAAACTATAAAACTACTGGAAGAAAACATAGGGAAAAAGCTCCTTGACATTGGTGTTGGCAATGATTTTTTGGATTTGACACCAAAAGCTCAGGCAACAATAGCAAAGATAAGTGGGACCACATCAAGATAAAAGGCTTCTGCACAGCAAAATAAATAAATTATAAAAATGAAAAGGCAACCTATGGAATGAGAGAAAATATTTGCAAATTACATATATGATATGGGATTAATTATATATATGATAAGGGTGATCAAGGGTTAATATTCAAAATATACAAGGAACTAACACAACGCAACAACAAAAAACCAAATAACCCAATTAAAAAATGGGAAGAGGCACTGAAAGGACATTTTTCCAAAGAAGACAAACAAGTGACTAACAGGTACATGAAAAGATGCTCAACATCACTAATTGTCAGGGAAATACAAATCAAAACTACAGTGAGATATTGCCTCACACCTGTTCGGTTGGCTTTGATCAAAAGGAAAAAAAGATAACAAACGGGCAGGATATGGAGAAGAGGAATCCCTATACACTGCTGGTGGAAATGTAAATTGGTACAGCCATTATGAAAAACAATGTGGAAGTTTCTCAAGAAAATTAAAAACAGAACTACCATATGATCCAGCAGTACTACTTCTGGGTATCTGTTCAAAGGGGATGAAGTTAGTATCTTAAAGAGATATCTGTACCCCATGTTCACTGCAGTGTTACTTGTAATGAAAACAACCTAAGTGTCTGTCAACAAATAAATGGATAAAAAGAGATACATAAAAATACATATGTATTATTCAGTCATGAGAAAGAAGGAAACCCAGACAGTTGCAACACCACGGACGAACCTAGAGGAACATTATACTAAGTGAACACATGAACATACCAAAACTTGTGAGACATACTTAAAACAGTGCTGAGACAGAAATGTATAGCAATAAATGCTTCCACCAGAAAAGAAGTCTCCAATCAATAATCTAAGCTCCCACCTTAAGAAATTTAAAAATAGAAGAGCAAGATAAATCCAAAGCAAGCAGGAGGAAGAAAATAATAAAAGAAATGAATGAAATAAATGAGACCAGTATTACCTTGATAACAAAATTAGACAAAGACAGTACAAAAAACAAAAATGCAGACCAAAATCCCTCACCAATATTGATGCAAATGCCCTTAACACAATATTAGTAAATGGAATTTGGTAATATATAAGAAGTATTTTACACTGTAGCTTAATGGGGCTTATTTTCCAGGGATGCAACACTAGGGCAATATTCAAAAATCAATAAATGTAATCTACCACATTAGCAGGCTAAATTTTAAAAAATCACATGATCACATCAATTGATGCATAAACAAGATTTGAGAAAATTCAACATTCATGATAAAAATTTTATATAATCTATAAGAAAAAAATTGATAAATTAAACTTCATCAAAATTAATACCTCTTGCTATGTGAAAGATCCTGTTAAGAGATTAAAAGGATAAGCTACAGAATAGGAGGAAATATTTGCAATCCACATATTTGAGAAAGGACATATCTAGAATATATAAAAAGCTCTCAAAATTCAACAGTAAAAAAACCTTAAGCAATCCAATAAGAATAAAGACAAAAGATATTAAAGAAACAATTTACCCAAAAAGATGGAAGAAGGGCAAACAAGCAAATGAAAAGATTTTCAACATCATTAGTCATTGGAGAAATGTAAATTAAGACCACAACAAAGTATCATTATACACAGATTAGAACAGGCAAAATAAAAAATTTGTGACAATTCCAAATGCTGGTAAGGATATAGAGGAAAAAGTCCCTTATACATTGCTGGAGAAGAAGTATTTTATACTAAATGTATAAGCTAAATGTAGATTTAATTTTTTTAAACTAAATAGACACTTATCATATGATCTAGCAATCACAGTGCTAGCTTTAATTTGTAGAAATGAGAACCTTAGTCCACACGGAAACTTGTATAAAAATGTACATAGCAGCTCTATTTGTAACAGGCAAAAAACCAAGCTGTCCTTCAATAGATAAATGGTTAAACAGATCATGGTATAACCATATCATGGACGATGACTCTGCAATCAAAAGGTACAATATATGTAACAACCTAGATGGATCTTAAGAACATTGTACTGAGTGAAAAAGGCCACTATCAAAAGTTCACACACTGTATAATTTCATTTATACAACATTCTCAAAATGCCAAAATTATAGATACAGACAAAGATTAGTGGGTTCCAAGGATTAGGGATGGTGGAGGCAGAAAAGGGTAGGCAACTCAAATAGGGTAGTAAAAAGGAAATCTTGATAGTGATGAAATAGTTCTATATTTTGATTGCTGTGGTGATTATGCAAGTCTACACACGTGTAAAATGGCATAGAGCTAGACACACACATTGTACCAATGTTAATTTACTAATTTTGACGTTGCATTATAGTTATGTAAGACATAGCCATTGGGAGAAACTGGAGGGGAACCTCTACTGTTTTTGCAACCTCCTGTCAATCTCTAATTATTTCAAAATAAAAAGTTTATAAAAGCTCTATAAATATGTATAAACTTTTGCAATTTATACATAAATAAAACTTGCTCAAAAACTGTTTCATAGCTCTCTCATCTAAGCTAGGATGATCAAGAGAACAATAAAGACTTTATTGTCATTATGCAGCATTATTTCAATAAACAGTGCTTTCAAATGAACATGATACCTATTCTAAAATTATCCATTCTCCCCTGCTGGACTGTGCCCTCTTTAAAGACCACATTTGATTCATTTTCTAGCCTAGAACCATTTCTGACATAACACAGGCATTTTATAAACGTTTGTTAAATAACATTCTTAGGAGAGACGACACATTAACTGGAGGATTAGAGACTGGGGTTATAAAACTGAAGCAACCTTTTGGAGTTTGGTGACAATCTTGTAAGAACCTTCATTTTCAGTTACGTTAAATGCCTCCAGCTTTCAACAATGAAGAATAGAACTGTCTGACCATGAATGAAGAGAAAGAGGAAGAGCATTTCTGGTTCCAAGAAAAGTATTACACTCATGGAAAAATGTCAAGACAGAACTCTCAAAGAAATTAGAATCTAAAAAATATTATGCAGAATCTTTAAGTGAGAGAAAATTAAGAAGTAAAAGAAAATGACATTCATATTAAGTGTGTCTGTATAGGATGTATGAGTGTGTATAAATGGGGAAATAGTAAGTTTGATCAAGAAGGAAATGGCAGGGATATATATATATATATACACACACACACATATACACACATATAAATATATATATATATACACAAGCATTTCCTTATGACAAATTCTAATTTATTTTTTAAAGACATAAATGACATATTATGTTTAAAATATGTTATTTTAACATTCTTTCATCTTCAATTCCACTGGTGGAATATGTTAAATATGTTAAATAACATATTATTATGTTTAAATATAATTGTGTCTGATTTAATAATTTTGCTTGAATAAATTAAGATGGCAAACTTTATGATGCTGCATGGAAAACTATGCTGAGCTACATAATCTCAAAATACCAATTTAGTTTTTTGAAACACTGTTCTTAGGGAAGAATTGTTAAGGGAAGAAGAGTTTAAATGTGGGTAAGTTTATAAGAATTGGTTATTGAACAGGTTATGCTTCATGATGAGAAAAGGCTGAACTGAAAAGGCTCCTATCATTTGTTGTATTTTGTATTATGGTGGATAGACATAAATATGGAATGGTGATAGTTAATCACTCTGCTTCACAATCTGATTCCACATCTTGAAGTCTCAAGGTTTTACTTAATGCCCATTATTCTCTATAATGACCACAAACAGCAAAGGGTTTTTATACAATCATTTCTTTTAAAAATATTCACTTTGGAATCCAGCAAAAGTGACAATGGACCACTCAGAAGTAGATATTCTAAGCTAACATTCTGGAAGACAAGGTAATCTTCCAAGTCTTCCAAATAAGATAGTGGAATTTACTTAGTTGTCCTAGTGAGCATGCATCTTGAGCAAGCCAAGCCCCTGAGGAACCTCTCTGTTCCTTCGCAAGTGTGGCACAACAGTTACTTTACACCCTGTTCTCCAAGCTACAGACATTGCTGAAAGAACAAATAAGACTCACCAATTGTAATCCAGTCGAGACTGATGAAGCTGCTGCTGTTTTAGGAGAAGCTTTGTCTCCTGCTGGGTCAGCAGATGCTGAAGGCGCTCTTTTTCAATTTCCAGCTCCATTTTCTGAAGCATAAGTTGCTGTTTTCTATTTTCTGAGAGTTGCTTTTTGACATCAGTTTCACCAGACTGCTGGGTCCCTTGACCATGCATCAGGGATGTCCAGGAGAGCCCACAATAACTGCATGATTCCAGATGTGTTCTGGAATACTGAGGGGCCATGTGTGTAGGATGGCTTTCATGAATAGGATCTACATTTTCAGAAAGTCTATGACCACAACACTGACTGGAAGGAGTAAGCTTCAGGGGTTGGCATTCTTTCATCTTCAGTTCTGCTGGTGGAACCTTCTCTGTAGGGACTGCATCTGCCAGTTTTCTCCCTGGAGATCCATAGTCACATGTTCTGGTCTTTGATGACACCCTGTCTAGGTCCGTTTTGGGATAACGGATGTCTGCTGGTTTCAAAGAATTATTCCTAAACTGCAGAAGGGCTTCTGAAGCTGAGTCCTGGTTTGCAGACTTAGGCCTCTGCTTGGTTTGATAGCAGGATTGTGATTTGGCTACACTCAAGTAGGAACCATCTAGTTCCATAGCTGAAGACTGAAGAGTGCTTTTCCTACTGGATACCTAAAAGGAACCACAAGATATTTGTCAAATAAGAGTACACTGAAATGAGCTCTTTTGGCTTTTCAGAAATCAATGATATATGTTTACCAAAATGAAGTTGTTGTTTTGTCTTCTTAAATAATAAATGATCGTATTCACACAGCTAAACAGACATGTGCCACAAAGCTAAAACCATTTTCAAACAATCTACATTTCAGTAAATCTACAGGGATGATAAAAAGAAAGTGTTGCTATTTGCTGCTTAAGCAAGATGACAGGATATTGCAAATAATGAGGGTTACATAAAATCAACTTTGAGAAGAGAAAAAACATTAAATGTTAATGTCTTAAAATGTTTACTTTTAAATACTAAGCCAAGAAATCCATTCAGCCACCTTAAATACCCTTTCTAATGCCGTTTGTCCATTACACACAATGAGATTTTTTGTAAAACATTTCATCTTATCCTGAATAAGATGTTAGTTACCGCTAGAAATTTGATGAGTTTTTATAAATATCTTTATAGCACACAAATAAAACCAAGCACTTTCCAAAAAATATGATTCTAATCAAAAGCAGTTATTTAAATACAAAACATATTTAATTTCAGCTATAAACATAAGTGATTTTTCAATTAAGCTGTTCAAGTGATTATAGCCTGATACAACTCATGCAGAAAGGAAGTAGTTGCAGGCCAATAGAGTGAGCTTTCCGGTTTTTTAGCCTCAAGCCTGTTCTATCAGGGAGAGCAAAACTTAGTTTATATCAGTGATCCTCAAACTTTAGCATGTATGAGAATCACCTGGAGGAACTGTTAAATGTGAATTGCTGGGCTTCATACCCAGAGTTTTGCATTCAGGAAGTCTGGAGCAGAGTTGGAGAAGTTGCGTTTTTAGCCAGTTGCCAGATGATACTGACGCTGCTCATCTGGGACCACACTTTGAGAACTACTGATCTGTATCATGGGACATCTGACTCCTCCTGTGTCTCATGTTTTGATAACATGGGGCTCACCCAGGTAATCCTGGGTAACTTCCTTATCTCAAGATCATTAACTTAATCACATCTATAAAGTCTCTTGTCATATAAAATCCTTTGTGTCATATAAAGAGACATTCACAGGCTCCAGGAATTAGAACAGGCTCCAGGAATTAGGACATGGGCATATTTGGGGGGGGCCATTATCCAGTCTACCACACTTCTTTTTAAATTAGAACTCATAAACAGTTGAGATGCTTATCTTATTCTGGAGACATGGAATAAATGAATAATTGAGGTCCCTAGGAGAAGGGGGAAAGAAATCCTGCCAATTTACTTTGCCGTAGTTGAAAATGATGAACTGATTGGTAAAAAGTGTCAACAGATATACATCAACACCATGTTTCCTATCTTCTGATAAAAGAGGGCTATTAACAAGAACTCTTAAGATTTTGAGTTTCTACAGCAATACTAAAGGAGTTCTATTCAAATGAGAATGAGCCACATCTGGGAAAAAGATGTGGTCCTCTTCAAAGAAGACACATAATCCTTTACACTGAGCAGATGACATTGAATAGGTTGCAAGCTACAGAAAAGAAACTAGTCCTAGGGCAAAATTTATGATAAACTACCTCATAAAAAAATTAACCTTATTTTACAACTAAAGGGAAATTCTAGTCCACATTAATCTCCCCTACTCTGAACTTCTGTAGCACTTACTGTCAAAACAAATATTTAACATTTATCATCGGCTATTTTGTATGGTAAGCTATCTTTTTATAGAATTATTATATTTAAAAAATGATGGGTAAATTTTTTAAAGGTCTGGAAACTTAAATCAATTATTTAACATTATCATATATTTCCTAATCCTTGTTTTAGCAATATAACAATAGCATGTATGTATTATTTTATAGTCTTATTTTTGTTCCTTAACATTATTTACATACGTGCATTTTTAGGTATTGACATAGCTGATACTTATGTTAATAGTACTAATTATTAAAGTATTCATAAATGTCAGGTATTTGGAATATTAAAAAATATTTCTTTTGGTAGTTAACTTTTTCTGTTTTTGAGAGGCAGTTCAACATAATGATTTTGATGCATACTTTGCTCAAAGAGCACACTGCTTTGCCAATTACCTGATGGGTGACTGTGCATGTTGGTAGGCAGGATTCTAAGATGGTCCTCAAGATTCCTGTCTTCTTGGTGTACCCACCTTGTATTATCTCCTCCCCTCAGTGTGGGTAGACTTTGGGAATATGACGAGATATGAATCCCGTTGTTATGCTATAGTAAATGGCCAAAGGAATGTTACAGATGTAACTAAGGCTCCTCCTCATCAGCTGGCTTTGAATTAATAAAAAGGAGATTATCTTATATGGGCCAGACCTAATTAAGTGGTCCTTTAAAAAAGGGTCTGGTGCCCTCCCTAATGTTGGAGAGTGGCCTTGAAGAAATAAGCTCACATGTTGTGGGAAGACCAGTGAAGGGGGTCATGTGGCAATGACTTCTAGAGCAGAAGGCAATTTCCAGCTAACAGCTAGCAAAAAGTGAGCCATCTATCATACAGATGCAAGAAAATAAATTCTGCCAACAACCATGTGAGTTTGGAAGGGGACCGAGAGCTCCAGATTAGAACGCGGTCTAGCTGTCACCTTGACTGCAGCTTTCTAAGACCCAGCAGAGGCCCCAACTAACCTGTGCCCGACTCATGACCTAGAGAAACTGTGAGATAATAAATGTGTATGTGTATTAAACTAGTAAATTTGTAGTAATTTGTTACACAGCAATACAAAACAAAAAAAGCACATTACTCAACTTGCCTGACCCTTAGTTTTCTCATCAATAAAACAGGAATTAAAGACAGCTTCTACCTCAAAAACTGAACATGGTGGTCAGATGGGCAGTTATCAAGGGTGCCAATTTATAAGGGTACCAATTTACAAAAAGGAAAAAAAAACCCTTATATTTACCCAGACTTTTTTCAAGGAGAACATTATGGGGTATGTGTGTGTGGGGGGAGGTAAGATCTCCAAGAGACATGTGCAGTTACAGCAGATTACTTCTAAAGAGAATGAGTTTTGTTATCCAGCTTTATTTTGCTGAAGTGAGGATTGGGCCAGAGTTGAAATACTTGAGATAATAGAGAGGTTCTTCATCTCTGTCCTCATACAAAAGATGTCAGTCTTACCCTGACATCCTGCACTGCCTCTTAGGGTTGTTGTGATACTGGATAATTCATATAAAGTGCTCTGGATAGTGCCTAACCTAAAGTCAGTATTCAAACAATGTTTCCTATTAAAATTATTACTACTGTTGTTATCATTGACTTCTCTGCCTCGACCAATCTTGAGGTCAGGGGCTATATTTACTCCTCTGGACATAGAGCACTGGGGCTTGCACATAGTGACTAGGGGCTAACTGTATCAGATAAGTAGAAAGAGTCAAGTTGGTTTATGGGTCACAGAAAATTAGAAATGAAAATTAGAATCCATGATTAGACTGAATTACGTGCTGCTAAGGAAGAGAAAGAGAGAAGAAATAGAAAACTGCCTGGTAGAATCTGAATATAAGAAATTAAGTTATTTTATTAGTGAAGTTGAGACAAATATTGCCTCTGGGACACATGCAAGTCACAATGGGCCTGAATGAAACAGATGTGTTTTTCTTTCCAGAGCTGCTGCTCCATGCTTTCTATGAGATATTTACAAATGTACCTTCTTTTAACTAAGGCTTAAACTAACAAATCCCAAACTGCTGTCTCTAGCATATGGGTTTGATATGAATTTTTCAGATATATAACACTAATTTAGGAACCAATCGATTTTTTTAATGGAGGCATAATTTACATATAAAAAATGCACATGTCTTAAGTGTACAGCTTGATAAATTTTTACATTTGCATATACCCATGTAATCATTATTACCCCAGAAAGTTCCTTGTGCTCTTTCTAGTCAGACCAACAACATCTTTACACTCCCAGAGGTAACCATTATTCTCAGTTCTATGACCACAGATTAGTTTTGCCTCATATAAATGGAATCATAAAGTACGCTATTCTTTTGTGGCTAGCTTCTTTTTTTTTTTTTTAGATATTTATTTATTTATTTATTTATTTATGAGAGAGTGAGTGAGTGAGTGAGCGAGTGGAGGGCAGAGGAAGAGGAGAGAGAGAGAATCCCAAACAGACTCTGCTCTGAGTGCAGAGCCCAATGAGCGGCTCAACCTCACCAACCATGAGATCATGACCCAAGCTGAAATCAAGAGTCAGACACTCAACTGACTGAGCCACCCAGGCACCCCTGTGGCTAGATTCTTAAGCTCAACATAATTTTGAGCTTCTTTTATGTTATGTTCTTGTCTGTATCAATATAATTCTCTTTCTATTGCTCATAGTATTTCATTGTATGAATATAGCAAAATTTGTTTATTCATTCTCTTATTGGATTATGTTGTTTCTTGTTTAGGGCTGCTATGAATAAAGGTGCTAGCAGTTTCTTACACAAGCCTTTTTTTTAAGGGGGGGCAGATGGAGAGGGAGAAAGAGAATCTTAAGCAAGCTCCATGCCCAGCATGGAGCCCAATGCCGTGCTTGATCTCATGACTCTGAGATCATGATCCGAGCCGAAATCAGGAGTGGTATGCTTAACCGACTGAGCCACCCAGGTGCTCCTTTATACAAGTCTTTTTTCTAGTAACAGGTATTTATTTCTCTTGGGCACAGGGTAGGCATATGTTTGACTTTATTAGAAACAGCCAATACTTGTTCCAGAGTGGTCATTCTATTCTGTGTCTCCATCAGCACAGTAAAAGAGTCCCAGTTGTTTCACATTCACACTAACACTTTTTTTTCGGTGCAAAATTTTATTAAAGCACAGGTACGGGACCTGTGGGCAGAAAGAGCTGCCCACGCTGATAGTGTTTTTACTTTAAGCCAGTCTGGTCTGTAGTGAAATCTCACCGTGATTTTATTTTGCATTTTTCTGATATGTAATGATAGTAATTAACATATGCTTATTGGCCATTTGGATATCTT